GTCAGTCAGCTACAACGTAGGACCGGGCACATATATGCATCGGTCCAAGTTGCCATACCTCACTCATTTGCACAACAAGATGAAAACCGGCTTCATAGAAGTAGTTAATTCAATGGTGGTAATATATAAAGTAAAAGGAAGATTGCATATAAGGATATAGTACTTCCAACAACACTCGAGAGCACTGTACTTATTACATAGTAAAGTATTTAGAAGAGTATAATATATAAGCGAACAACATTGCTTCCAATTAGATCGTCATCAAGCTTTACTGAAGTATAAATGAATATTTATATGAAAATATTAAACCTGTTAATGCAATCCATCTTTGCATATTTAGCGATGAATATTCGAAATAGAAAGTGGTAAAGTGAACTGAGAAAATGCAGAAGACAAGTTATATATACATATACTAATTACAGAATTCATGCCAGTTTACAGGTATGATCAGCTTGATATAGATAGTAATATTAAGTATAAAGAGTAGATATGTGATATTTGACTGTTTTAAATGCTCTAGCTCAAAAATTGGTAAGATAGTACCTTTTTCACATGTATTCCATCAATGAAATGTATCAACTGAGAACTAATTATTCTTTTGGAATGAACATCCATTTGAAGTATGAATGCAGTATTCAAGCTCATTTCCTGTGTCATAACAAATCAATTATAACCATCTACAACTAGAGTAAATAAAACAGAAGAAGAGAGCACTGAACAACAAAATATGGGTAATAATTACTTCGATAGGTTAGTCACGTCTACCATAATACATATATTAGGTTATTTTATGATGTACTGTTCGTGTTAGATATTATTCAAATGTACCAGTGTTTGTTTTAACGTGCTTTTGTTTGACTGTGCTAATGACAGCTATTTTGTGCTTCCATTCACTTACTTACACTTTGATTGTAACTTCGCGCGAATTCGGTTGCCTTCTGTAACCAAGGTTGTATCCTGGCACGATCTCGGTATCCTTTCGGTGCCACGAGATCGCCAGCTAATAAACCTCGACTTGGTCCATTAATTGCCTTCTGATATTTGGCTTCTCGGGGATTTTATGGATTTATTTGGTTACGTCCAACCTACGCCTTCTGATTCATTTGGCACGTGTTTCTTTGTAGCGGTGTTCATAGTTAATCACAACTCGACACCACTCTACACTCTCATGTCACATTTAAATTAAATTTGTAAAACTCTCTGTTCTTGAATCTCAGCTTCAGTTGGTATGTTTTCTGATCCTGATGCTTCTCCGCTCTAGACAGATCTAATGTCCATGCTTACTTCACTTATTCCAAGCATGGTAAAGTTGTACCTTTTCGTTTTTGTAGTTTCGTGTCTGGTTTTCGCGACCTCCCACACTATTCAGACATTCTTCCCACCAATATTAGTTACTGATCTAGTTGTTAAAAGGGACGTAAACCTCATGATTTCCGAAGAATCTCAGCTTTCACCACTAGGCATCATAACTCTTCTAAATAAAGATCCTCCAACTCACTCGGTGGGGTTTAAATCGTTCAAACGATATTTCCGGTTAACGATATTTTTGGCAAGATTCTCTTAAATGGTATACGGTCGCTAACCACACACCCGACCCCCCTTTATCCGGGCTTGGTACCGGCAGTAAAATTAGAAGAGCTAACGAGAGTTAAATTACGTGCGTTATATTACAAATCATGTTACAAACATGAGATAAAATGGACTACTCCATTATACTGTAAACTTTCATTTTGGGGTTCTGAAAATCGTTGAGTTTCATTGAAACCATATCGTAAATTGCTATCTTGCACTGACTGACTGAAACTGTTGCCAATTTTAACACTTTTTCCAAACTCACAGGCTCATGGTCACATATGATATCGTAAATATCCTTGTTTTCTGTGCATTAACTAACCGTGGAATTAAAGTATCTTCTGACTGTTATTTATTATTATTATTATTATTATTATTATTATTATTATTATTATTATTATTATTATTATTATTATTATTAAACACATAAACATTGGTACAATGAGGCAGCAAATATATATGCGCTACATAGATCATTCGATTTATGTGAGCGTTGCGATACTACCCGGGTACCCAAATGGAAGCAGGTAGTTCTCTTAGAAGGCCACACCCGGAGCGTCTGACCGAAAGGTCTAATCGACAAGGCAGTGTAGCAACGTAAGGAAATGCAGTTCCATGGTAGCCGGTGACCAACGATTGGTTCATACGCCATTTGTTCCTTCAGGATCCGGGAGCCCACGTACACCATTTGTTTGGAATCAGGGTTTTCCAACTCCCCTAGGTGGATCCCCCATATCCACCAACCCGGTTAAAGTGCCGGACATTTGCTATTCGTCCTCTCAATTTCGTAAACAACAACATCTTCCGACTATCTACCTTTTGTTTTCTGTTCGGGTTTCAAGAGTCGAAGATTCCTTGGGTTAAGAATTTGGTGTCTAGGAATCCAAATACAAGATGTGTCAGTCAACGAATAAATTTTCTTGATGATCAATAATGAAATACAAGGTTTGGTAGAAAATAGTGACTCTTTACCAATTAGTTTTAAATACGATGTATCCCCTGGAGTCTCAATTTAAAACATCAATATCCAAGCTAGTAAATAAAACTTTGGTTGCGAGAATTGTGATTATATTGGAATGAATTTAATTTTTTGTGATTGTCTGATATCACCCGATTGATCTAAGTATCATACTCCTTATTAAGGAGTACTAGCAACCCCTCCAGGGATCAAATTACACTCCTTTCTGTCTCGCATCGGACGTGTTGTAAATAGACCACCGAGTTTTAATCCACCCGTTCACAGGTGAGTAATCTCATACTAGGTTGAAACAACTGTTCAAAGCTCCCTTGTTATCAATAGTTACTAAGTGAGCTCCAATATATAATGAAGCTCAATGTAACTTAAATATTACCCTTCTTTCGACTGTTTATCACAGGCTGACTTATTAAATAGATCTATATCTCATGTCAGGAAGACAGTAGTAGAAGTGACATTATTTTTACCTTCTTTAAGAGACTACACAAACGTCAAACAAATCAAAGGTTGATTCCCAAAATCAAACAGTACTACTGGGACAGATAAATCCCCAAAATAAATGGCCATAAGTCCTCAACATTGATGTTCACCCTAGTCGTTTTACTGAACACATACTTAAATGAACGCACTCAGTCCGTCTGAACCAAAGTACGCCGTGCTGAGCATTTCCTACGAAAAATAGACAGCTTGAACCCTACAAATTATGACAACGGCCTATAATTTAAATATGCGCACATATCCCATCATTCCTGACTTCCAGTTTTATTGGCTTTAAGATCATTGCGTAGGATGAGATTTCAAACAGTAGAACCGTCGAATTTTGCGCTTTCCTGATTTTTTCAAATTCAACAAGCAGAAATTTTCAAAACATGCAATGTAAACGCATGTAAGGACAAATGGATATCTACATTTAAACGTATTTGAAGGCTAAAATTTGCTAAGATTTATTTTAACATGATTTTTCTACTTATTAACATAAGTTTAGGAGTGAAAATTGAACGGCAGATTCAAGCTACTTATTGATAATAAGTAATAGGATATAAAAACTAAAAAGACAAGGTTTACACTCGAAACGGAGTGCTACAATTGAAGTAACAGAAATTAAGACAGAACTAGTGTAGTTTTATAACAAACTCGGGATGTTTCATACTAGTTCTATATCTTAAAAATATAGTCATACAAACCAGTTTCTAAATATTTTATTTTGGATGGTCATTTAAGTCGAAAACCTGTATATATGGTTTTCATGCGCGAACCCAAACAGTTACTTGAGTAAGAAAACTAAAATCGAATATGAAGCCTTTATTGCCTAACTCGAATCAAAATATATAGATGTCCCCAGAAAATAAAGCCGGATTTTTTTTACCATTGACCTGTCTGTCCCTCTTGGGTAATTAGGCTGAATATTGGTCAACAACGTACATCCGTCAACATATCCTACTCATAATTTGGCTTTGAACTAATAACTGATTATCCCGGGATATTAATAGGTCCAGATCATCCACGAACTCTATAAGAACATTACTTTGTGATCTGAATTATGCTAAAATTTACTGATGCATTTTGAAATAAATTAAAGACTATCGAAATTCATATTATTCCGCCCCTAACTACCCTGATACTTCTGAGTGTGTAGAACATATTCTCATTATCCAACTGCTCTCATTTATCCCCTCAAGCAAAGAAGTTTCACACACTACATTAACATGGTGTGGCTAAGGTCGCAAATTTATGAAGCTTAAACTGAATTATTGTATATATACAGTGTCTGCCTACGGTAGTTGGAAACCCTTGATTTCGAATTCAGTATCCTCATGGGTTAAAGGGTCCTGGGCGGATGAATGAATACCATATGAGCCAACTTTGGGCATTGGCTACCATATGATTGTATTCCTTGATGCTGCTCCATTCAGTTCCGGATTACATCTTGGGGTCAAAATTTGAGAAGTCTCCTCAGAAAACCACTTGACTCAATTTGCGCAGTCGGATGACATCATGACCCAGATGAACGGGAACTATCCGCCTAGTTAATGTTATAGACGATATTTATATCCATATAAGAGGCATATTTATTTTTTATTATTCTGACTCTTCTTGGTTATACTTCCTTGTTGGTGTACATTATTCTTTTGGTGCCACGTTTCACGAAAAAAGCTACTAAAGGAATACAAGTCGACATGTGTCCTGACTAGAATGCCAGTTGCACCAAGTTGCCTTGTTACATTCACATACTGAGTAGCTTTCTAAAATACTGTGGGATGCGCGCAGCTGACAACAAAAATTAAAACCAAGCATTATGAGATGTTGTTTACTAATATCATACATGTACAAAAAGGAAAAATACAAGTATTAAAATGTGTTGAATTACAGAATAGCATCAACAGCTGGTTAGAGAATATTTTACAGCTAGCAATTAAAGAGGGGTAAGTAACACAAAACAAACGATGTCAATTCAGAAGTTCCGTCCACGCCCCCGACCACTACGACCAAATCGAAATCTGCCTTTATTCGAATCAATAGTATCAACGCGAGACCACTGACCGATTGGTGGAGTATACAATAGTCTATCACCACGTGGTTGTCGAACACCTGTACTATGGTGATTACCCGAATCCGTGGAAAGAGGACGCTTTGTACCTGGAATCGAAGTAACAGGTGATTGAATCCACGACAATGTTACATTGATGGTTTTGAACATTGGAGGGTTGTGAAAAAAGCACCGTATCATTCGCTGTATGTTCATCATAAGCTAACAAAAAAGAAACAAGTAAACAAATTAACTGATACTACACGTAAATTAACTCTCGATTAATTGGAAAATATGTACATAGTTATGAAATGCATTGCAAGTCATAGTGATTTGAGACTAAAATGCTCCACAGAACGAAAGATCGTCCTTTTTCCGATAAAATGAGCACTGTGTATCAAATGTAAAAACAATTGCTTATTTACTTATATATATTCACTGTAATTACCCACGCTCTGTGTAAGTTTCATGATAAAATTAGCCCACAAAAATTAAGTTGAGGATATATAACTTGCATATACACTCAGTTTTTACCTTCAGAACATTTACCAGCAGTTTTTTCTAACTTCATCATATACAATTTTACTTATAAAAATCTATAACATTTATTCTTCTTCTTGTAAATACACTCTGATACTCATCAGATCCAAAATTAAAGCAATACAAAATTACAAAATTTTCTTCAATACAACAACACGTCTTCCTATCAAGAACGCAGTAATAAGCAAAGTTTATTGATCTATACGACTAAAAGAACTGGGATGATTGTCACTTAAACTCTGATCTTACAATCATGTGGCTAGGTTTTATCATGAATCCTAGTATCTGTATTTAGTTATGTTGATATTTTCTCGCTGTTTAAGTGAGGTGTGACAAATCAGACCGACGTACACTCATGCCAGGTTCTAACTTGACAACGACTTAATACTCCCAAGGTGGATTGGGAGAGCCCGCTATCCCTATCGAAATGCCCTCATATGCCCACGCGTATACAGCCACTGCCTTCGAAGTCCTACTCATTGACTTTTCGCAAAGTGGGTGTTTTTGAGGAAATTGAGGAGACGAAAAGCGAATGTCCGGCGCGTTAACCGGGTCGGTGGATATGGGGGTCCACCTAGGGGAGTTGGGAAACCCTCATTTCAAACAAATGGTGCACATAGGCCACAGGATCCTGGGGGAACGGATGGCGTACGAAACTATTGTTGGCCACCGGTTACCATGGGACTCCATCTCCCAACATTGCTCCACTGCCTTGTCGATTAGACCTTTCAGTGAAAAGCTAGGAGTGTGGCCCCCCAAGAAAATCACCTACTTCGACCTGGGCACCCGAGCAGTGTCCCAGCACCCACACAAATCAGTGATAGTTACTACTGGAAAAATTGCTTTCGTTTCAACGCTCATTCAGACAAATCATATTCACAATCGTTTGTTTTTTATTTGTTTTATACTGCGTTCCTTACGTACTCGCCTTTATTCTCATTTTGCGTATTTTATTTTTCAGCTTATACAGCAGCTCGCCTATGGTGAAAACCCTGTTCTATATAGACAATTTCAAGTCGCTGACTGGTCGAAGGTTGAATACTACCACCAACTTTGAATGCTGCACCAACCCCTCTGAAACCCCATATACCATCCAAGCTGGCCTTCTTCGACGTTCCCACACCAATGCAAATCCGGCAACAGATAGGGTTGACCATATCTTTAAAAAGTCTTAACATCGATGTCTGTTGTCTACCCGAGATCCGTATTCAAGACCCTGGTGAAGTACTACAAATTCATTCTCCATCTGTCGCTTCGGAAAGCTTGTTTCAAGTGAGTTAATCTATGGAAGTACTTTTACAAGAGTGGCAGGACCTTGATCCTGCACTCAGCCTAGGTAGTGAGCAGATAAAAGTAGTCGAGTTCGTGTGTCTGGGTAGCCGTATAAGTGTTGGTGGTGGCGTGAGTGATGAGATCGATTCACGTATAGTGAAAGCCAGAGTGGCTTATGCCAATCTGGGCCATCTCTGATACATTCGTAATGTTAGTCTGGCTGTAAAAGGTCAGATCCACAACACGTCAATGAGAGCAGTTTTGCTTTATGCTTATAAAACCTGACATCTCCGAGTTGAGGATATTAGACGGCTCTCTGTATTTGATAATCTTTGTCTCTGAAGGACTGTTGAATCCAGTGGCAAAACCATGTTAGTAATGCGGGGGTACGGCATCGTGTGTTCGGGTATAGCAACGATAATTCAATTGGCGGCACTATCTTGAAACATCCACTTTGGTGACTTGGGCATATCCTACAAATGTCGTCCCAGAGAATTCCACGTCGTGGATTGTTTGCCGACATTGGGACTGGTTGGAATAAGTCGAGCGGTCAGTGTATGACATGGTGTGGTGGTATGAAGGAAAGCTGTACATAACTGGCGTCTGTTGGTCCTTCACAACTCCCTGGATGGGGTCCTACAGATGGTGAAACATAGTGGCTAGAGACGTTATCAGATATGTCTCGGAATAGAAGCCAGTGGCGATCTTGCCGTAACTGTCTTTTACTTTCTTCATAAAAAATGAACGTAACTTCTTTAATTGAAAGGATTCTTTCTGGTCATATTTTTGCTAACTGAACTGTTTCTCCCATGATTACCATTATTATTCCACTCTCATACACTGATTTCTGTTCGCTGTTCTTATTATTATTATAAGCACTTTACATCTTCTATCTCTTCACAACCTCATTGTTGTTGTGCGGCGCATATGCATTTGGTGCCGCCCTGTACCAATGTTCATATGTTCAAATAAATATATAATACATTTAACTGAGCCGAATATACCCCATTTTTTAGCTCACTTTGTAGAAATGAGGTTAAACAAATCGTTTAAGAAGATCCATACAAAGAAGATAAGTCCTTCGAAAGTGGGGTGTGTTGAATGATATTGATTAATTCTATTTACCAATCGAAGCCAAGAAATGTTTGCAAACATACACAGAATCAGTTGCTTGGTAATTAACATAAGTAGTGGTCAAATTACACTGTATGAAATAGGTTGTCTTCACAATAGGTTCGGTTTTAGAAGAATACACTGCTTGAGTTAATCTTTTTTCAGTAATCAGAAGCAAAGCTATGATCTATTGAGCTGTAGATAGCAACGCAAGCCTTTAAAGCTGATGGCACAAAATGAAAAATTGACTAAAGATGGCTACTGATCAAATCGAGTGCTTTAATACTGAGACTATTCCCAGCATATTACGTTCGTATTTCTGTAAATTCTACCTATTTTTCTTCATTTATTGATCCCACCTCCTGTTGTGGCTTAGTAGTTAAGGTAGCTAGCATGGTATTATCATGACTCATGGGGTAAAAATTGTCTTGAAGTCAAATACATTAACCTGCACTCGAAAAATAGGCCACAATAGATATCACCATAAAACTTATTTATTTATTTATTTGAACACATATATATTGGTGTAGGAGTGCGGCAAATATATATGCGCCACACAAAACAATGAGAATTTAAGAAGAAAAAGAAAAAAAGTGGGGAACGTAAAAAAAATTTAAAAAAACAATAACGAAGAGATTGATGTAAGGTAGTGTAGTAATAACAATAGTAATAGTAGGGGAACAGAAGGGTACAATCAGAAGAAATCTTTCAGGTAAGGGAGACACAACCACTTTTTATGAAGAAAGTAAAAGAAGGTTACAGCAGGATCGCCACTGGCTTCTATTCTGAGCCATATCTGATAACGTCTCTAGCCACTGTGTAGCACCATCTCTCAGACCCCAACCAGGGAGTCGTGAACGACCAACAGAAGCCAGTCCTTTGCAGCTTTCTTTCATGTCACGACACCATGTCATATACTGACCACCTCTCCGCTTCTTCCAACCAGTCCCAGAGTCGGCAAATAATGCACGACGTGGAATTCTCTGGGACGACATTCGGAGAACATGTCCAAGCCACCGAAATCGGTGTTTCAAGATGGTGACACCAATTGCATTATCGCGTCTGTGTCCGAACACACGATGCCGAACCTCTGCATTACTAACATGGTGTTGCCACTGGATGTCAGCAATCCTTCGGAGACAGTGATGATCGAACACAGAGAGTCGTCTAACGTCCTCAACTCTGAGTGACCAGGTTTCACAAGCATGGAGCAAAACTGGTCTCACCGACGCGTTGTAGATCCGACCTTTTACGGCCAGACTAACATCACGAAGGCGCCAAAGGTGGCCCAGATTGGCATAAGCCGCTCTGGCTTTCACTATACGTGCATTGATCTCATCACTCACGCCACCACCAGCACTTATGCAGCTACCCAGATACACGAACTTCTCGACTATTTCTATCTGCTCACCATCCAGGGTGAGTACAGGATTAGAATCCTGCCAGTCTTGTAGAAGTACTTTGCACTTCGAAGGTGCAAAACACATACCATACCTACGGACACTGATTGCCAACTGATTAAGTGCGAATTGCATGCCTTGGGAATTATCGCACAGTACACTCTCTAGTTCCCGAACCCTTGTAAACAACGTCGTCAATTCCTTAGTCAAAAAGTCACCACCATCTTTGAAAAGAGCCGGAGGTAAGTCATCTAAGCCAGGTGATTTGTAGCGCTTCAAGAGTTGGAGTTCCTTGCAGACTTCCGCCTCATTTGGTGGATCAGTCGTCACCGGCCATGGAGGGCAGGACAGTCTGACTGATGTTGCCGGAGCAGCAGGCCAGTTGAACTGCCCTTCGAAAAATTCTGCCCATCGTCCAAGACGTCGATGGATGTTAGTGATTGGGATCTCATCATCCTCGCAGATTGTTTCACTCACACCAGACTTCTTGCTGCCAGTGGCTCGGATGAGTTGGAAGAGCTTCCGGTAGTTACCAGATGCAGCTGCTGCTTCCAGCTCATTAGCACGCTCCGACCACCAGGCTTCTCGGTCCTTACGCAAGCTTTGCACAATTTCACTACGTAACAACCTTCGTTTGTGGTCAAACTCACGGTCACCCGGAGTAGACCGACGGGCTTTAATGAGTTGTAAGGAACCAGAAGAAACCCAGTGCTTATAAGCGGGACGTTTCGCGAAGCCACAACTGACTGTAGCCGCCATTTTCATGGCGTCATGCAATTGCAACCAACGCTCATCTATACTTTTCGGTGGAATGGTAGCTAACCTAGATGCTAGTTCGGTTCGATACTTACTAGCAACAGAAGTTGCAACCAGCTTGCTGACATCAATCCGTTGATGGCGGTCACTTCGTTGTCCACTGAAAGGTAAGGTCAGAGTCCAGATAGGTACTCCAGAAGGAGTGGCAGCCTTGTACATAACCACGCCAGTGGTAGCTGATCGCGATGTGATCAATCTGAGTCCAGGCTTGAGATGCAGAGGGAGGACGCCAGGTGGCACATCGGTGATAACTGTGCCGAAAGCTAGTGCTAGCCAGAAACAGGTTGTGGTCTGTGCACAGTTGCAGTAGACGGTCCCCGTTATCTGACTTGCGACCAACGAGTCCCCATCGGCCCCCTAAACGACCCTCTTCTGTGCCTAGATGCCCGACCTGAGCATTCAAGTTTCCGGCTAGTACTACAATATCTGTCGAACGCACTTTCTGGAGAAGAACAGATAACTGGTGGTAAAACTCATCCTTGATTGCATCCGGGCTGCAATCTGTCGGGGCATAGGCGGAGATGACGAAGAGACATCGTTCCTCACGCCGATTTCTTCTCACTTTGATGGAACTCTAATCTAACAGCACATAACCGACTGTTAATGGGGACCGATCGATTAGTGCTGCCTCAGCTCTAGCGCTTAGTGCGACACCAACGCCAGCAACACGAGACGAAGATGCCACAGGGTCCCCGGATAAGCGCATGTAAAACAAACTTTTTGAAGCGACAGATGGAGATCGAATTTGTAGTACTTCGCCAGAGTCTTGAATACGGGTCTCGGATAGACAGCAGACATCGATATGAAGACTTTCCGAAGACATAGCCAGCCCTATCTGTTGTCCGACCTGCATAAGTGTGCGAATGTTGAAGGCAGCCAGTTTGAACGGCGCACGTGGTTTCAGAAAAACTGCTTCAGTACTCATATTCGGTGGTAACATACAATTTTCAACCGGACAGTGACTCGAGAACGTTTAGATACAGTCGGATTTCCACCATAGACGAGCTGCTGTATAAGTCGAAAAAAATAAGTATAGACAGAGTAGGAACAAAAGAGGGTGAATAATGACGCAGTAAATAATAATAATAATAATAATAGCAATAATAATAATTGAATCATTTGAATGTTCGTTGACGCAAGAGAATTAGTTTCCATGATCATAGACAGTTCAGTTCATTAATTGCGTGTGGGCTGCGATACTGCCCGGGTGCCCAGACCGAAGCAGATCCATAAAACTTAAAGGGTTTCATCAATAACGTCACATGGTTTTTTAACATACCTGGTCACTGCTCAAGATACGAATAGCTGTTGATTTGAGCTATATGTATAAATTTGAGTAGTCTTAATTGTGACATTGGAGTTACCTATTAAATGAGACGTTTTGTTTAGTTTTGAACATCAATTTGAATAAAACCGAGACCATAAAATATCCTCAACAGATTATTGGAAAAGCTAAAGAACTCACTCTGTGAGCCATGATTCGAAGCTTGCTCTCTTCAGACTGTAAATTCTTATCCAACTGACCAGATATTGTTGTTGCATAATCTTGTGCTAGCTGACTTAAGTACTGGAGACGAGGTCTGACAGTACGTAATCTATCGACTCCATCTTCGATAACAGATAACTCAGGTTCATTATCATTCGCTTTCCCCCCAAAATATTGAGGATAATAACATCCAAGCTGGCAGCATAAAAACAGACTTGCTTCTAACTCCGAAAACTTCAAACCCATCTGGTTTAATGTTGGCTTTTCTATAGAAGGCTGTTTCAACTAAAGATTATTAATAAAAAATATTTGTGACCCACGTTGTCAGCTGTTTCTTCCGAAGGGATGTTAGGCAAGAACATTGACAGTATATTAAAAGCAGAGTTTAAATATTTTGTTATATCCTCTGACTTTATCGATGCAAGTGCTTGACTTGGGAAAAACAGTAGCTCTGCGGTCAACTGAAGTAAGCTCAGTCGTTCGTCGAAAGTGTCTTCAGCAAAGTCACCAAATTGTGGTAGGAATTTTTCCAACATGTATATGTACAAGTCATGAGCATTAACGTTTTTCTGTTTAGGAAATATCTATAAAATAAGGTTACTTACAGATATACATAAGGCAGCCTGTCTACAACTCTCCCGAACTTGAGCTATACATGCCCGATCACTAGCCTTTACATATTACCACAACTTCGAACTGACTTACATTGAATGTAGGAACGGCCTGCAAAGCTTGTTGAGAGATCATGCCGACTAGTTTTTGCCTGCCAGTTAGTGTAGACATACATTTCAGGGATGATAGTAAAGAGATTAACATTGGAAACTCATCCTCAGAAACATCATGTAGCACTCGATTAGTTTGTTCAACCACAAAAGACTCCAGATCACTGGTTAATACATTGTCTGGTAGACTTTTTAAACGTTCACATAGGAATTTGAGAGTATTTTCTCTAGAATTCTCTGCATTCATTGAGAGAAGTCGGTTGAATATTCCTAGTAAGGTCGCTTTCGGCTCCGAATGAAGTAGTTGAGATAAAGCCAAAGAAATTACATTCAGCTCCTAAACATCGCACACTAGTTAATATTAGTTACCTTCTTATCATCTGTTTGATACATTTGAACGAGAACATCAGCAACACGTGGGACGAACACCCGTGCATGTTTACAAAACTGTAACAAATCGTGCACCACTTGACTTCGAACGTTTACATCGTCGTCGTCACATAAATCCAGAAAACAATTGAAACTTTCCTCCAGTAGATTCTCGAAAAGTTTGCTAAATCTTGCTATAAACTGACTTGACAATCTCTTTGCATTTTCATCGCCTTTAACACCTACAAGTACTGTTTTGTAGGCATTTTCTCTCTAATAATAGACGAAATATTAGAAAATCACAGTCACAACCTCCTTTAAATCTATAGAACTGTCGGTTAGTTTGTCATAACATGAGTACAAATCATCAGTAGTCGGTAAAGTCATCGGGTAACATACACCATCAAATTTCCGCCTACACAATCCGCAAAGGGAACTGCACAAACAATCAGACTTTGAAGATTGAAACGTGAACTTAGACTTTCAGCTCTTTTGATTCTTTTCTATTTATATATAAATGGATTGTATACAGTATATGTCCATTCGTCACCATACTTTTGGCACATATTTTTAACCTGTTTAGCTACATTTAAGGAAATAAGTCAAAGTTCTCATGATCTTATTTATTCCATCACAAATTACTAAGCTTCACTAGTCATGAACGCTATTTGTTCTTCTTCTCAACCTTTTATTTTTTCTTCTCTTTTACAACACCCTCGCCCGACGTGATCTGATACACCAAATCGTAAAGTGTGAGTCTGTTCCATTTTGGGATTCTATATATCATTGCTTTATTTTAATTTTTTATACATTGTAATATTTTTCCCCGTGTCTCAGGATATCTATATATTTTTCCCTCGTATTCTCGTACTTAGTATTCCCCTATGACCGAATAGACTCCTAAGGTATTTAAGATTAAGACCATGTCCCCACCCTCGTTCCAACTCATGCCTTTCTGGGCCGACAATAACGAAGCCTGGTTCTGCTACGCAGAAGCTGACTTCCACGAGCACGGCGTGAACGACACACGTGCACAATTCCTCGCAGTAGTCAAGGCACTACCGCGGGAATTCAACAGGTACGTAACACCCAGTATGTTTACTAGTGATGTTTCTGAACCGTACGAAACCTTAAAACGTTCCATTCTTAAACGAGGAGACCTAACCGATCGACAAAGGTTAGACCAACTCTTTAATAACATAGACCTACAACACGGTTCTGTGACGGACATGTTGCAAAGGATGAGAGAGGCTATTGACCTAAGAACTTTCGACGAAGGCCTATTCAAACAACTCTTCTTGTCTAAACTTCCCCAAAAGATGCAAGCGGTTCTGGTCTCGTTTTAGAACAACGCCTTAGACGAACTGGCTGCATCTGCCGATTATATTTTAGAAATTACGAAATCTTCTATTACCGAGGATTTTTTTAGTCAAAGAACAGCCTCAAACGACTCAGAATGATATAACCGAGTTATGTCATACACTTACGCGCTATCTTAATTTTCGAAACGACCGTAAGCGATCACACACCCCACGTAGAAGCACATTACGTAAGCGATCTGTCTCTAGACCACGAGAGACGGATAACCCCGACTGGTGCTGGTATCATAACCAGTATGGAAAGTCTTCCAGAAATTGCAGAAAACCCTCCAATTTTCCCAACTCAAAACCGACTGACTCGAAAGACAACTCGGGAAACTTCCAAGCCGGCACGCGTTAACGGCAACCGTAGCCGGCGAACATAGCCTTCTGTTGTACGTCACAGATATGACAACGAGAGTTAGCTACTTCGTCGACACTGGCGCACACGTTAGCGTTCTCCCAGCGAATCCCAACGACCGGATTCATGAATCGACTTCAAACTTACAGGCGGCAAACGGAAAACCGATCGCTACGTATGCAAAAGGCACGTTTACGGAGGCTAGTAGACGGAAACACTAAGTTATCCGTTTGCGTAACATCTTTTTCTAGTTGCACATTATCCCCAGTCACAATTAAACACACGATAGACCGATTTTATCAACCGCTACTCGATAAGTATCCTGGGATTCATCAAACGCAACCGAAACTACCGTGTGTAACCAGCAACGTTGCACATCACATCACGACTATAGGACCACCTGCATTCACTAAAGCACGACGACTAGCCCCTTAAAAGCTAAGGTTGGCGAAAAACGCGTTCGATCACGTGATAGACTTAGGAATCATACGACCATCAAATAGCACAGATGTATCTCCTTTTCACATGGTCCCCAAAAAGGACAGCAACGATTGGCGTCCAACTGGTGACTATCGGCGATTGAACGCGAAAACCATTCCCGATCGTTACCCGTTGCCTCACATTCACGATTTGACAGCTACCTTGAAAGGTACAACTGTCTTTTCGAAAATCGACTTGGCTAAAGCGTATAACCAAATCCCTATGGCTACTGACGACATACCGAAAACAGCTATCATAACTCCTTTCGGACTCTATGAATTTTTGCGAATGCCTTTCGGTCTAAGGAATGCTGCTCAAACATTCCAAAGATTCATAGACGACGTTTTTCGAGGTCTCAACTTCGTACATGCGTATGTTGACGACTGTCTAATCGCAAGTCCGGACAGAGAAACACATCTCAAGCATCTGGATCTTGTTTTCGAACGACTACAAAAACATGGCATCACTGTAAACGTTCAGAAATGCCAAATCCGAACCGACTCATTAAACTTCCTAGGACACACGATCGATGCTCAACGCATTCGACCCATTAGGACCAAAGTGGCGGCCATTCTGGATTACCCAGAACCGACCACCGTCAAGCAACTACGAACGTTTAACTGCCTTGTAAGTTTCTATAGACGTTTCATACCGAAATGCGCATTACTCATGAAACCTCTAACCGACCAACTTCGTGGAAATGCGAAATCCATTCATTTGGACGACACTGCACGAAAAGCATTCGCCACAGTTAAGGAACTCATCGCTAAAGCAACAATGCTTGCACATCAGGACACCCGAGCACCCATTAGTATCGCAGTAGACGCATCCGACTCAGCATTCGGAGGAGTCTTACAACTTTGGGTTAACAACTCCTGGCAACCCTTTGCATTTTTCTCTAGAAGGTTGCTAGACACTGAATCGAGGTACAACACATTCGGTGGGGAACTCCTAGCTATGTATTGTGCTGTACGGCATTTTCAACACTACATCGAAGGTCGTGAATTCACTCTTTTCACGGACCATAAACCGCTCACTTTCTCGTTAAGCTCTCCTTCAGACAAGTACTCTCTCCGCGAGTCTCGACAACTGGACTACATTTCGCAGTTTACTTCAGACATTCAACACATCTCTGGAGCAAACAATGTAGCTGCAGACGTCCTGTCTCGCATAACTTCCTTGAACAGTTTCCAAGGAATCGACCTTCTTAAACTCGCCCAGTTTCAAAAAGAAGACACTGATCTTCAGCACGAGTTTTCGTCTACAACCCTCAAACTACGCATCAAGCAGATGGGAACAGGTAAGGAAACCTTACTTTGTGACACATCTACAGGTACGGATCGCCCAATCGTGTTGAAACATTATCAACGCAACGTCTTCAATACTTTGCACAAACGTTCTCATCCAGGTGTTCGTGCAACCATCAAGCTTATAGCAGAACGGTTTTGCTGGCCTGACATGAATAAAGACGTGAGGGAGTGGGCACGCTCCTGTGTAAGCTGCCAAAAATCTAAGGTCATCAGACACAATAAATCCCCCTTAGGCTCGTTTAAAACTCCCGATGCTCGTTTCGACCATGTTCATTTGGATTTGGTAGGACCTTTACCAGATTTAAATGGATACTCTTATCTCTTAACCTGCGTAGGCTGGTTCCCTCAATGGCCAGAAGCAGTACCTATCAAGGACATCACTGCTGAAACAGTGGCCCGCACCTTCGTCGAACGATGGGTAGCAAACTTCGGTTGCCCTTCAACCGTCACTACAGACCGCGGACGTCAGTTTGAATCTGAACTTTTCCGTCGTCTGACCACACTTTTAGGAATCACTCGCTTCCGAACGACCGCCTACCATCCACAAGCAAACGGGTTGGTAGAACGTTTTCACCGACAACTGAAAGCTTCACTATCAGCTGCAAACGTTTCACAGTGGACCGACGCTCTTCCACTTGTCTTACTAGGTATCCGCAATGCAGTGAAAGTTGACATTGAATACACTGCAGCTTAACTCGTTTATGGAACGACACTTCGACTTACAGGAGAATTCGTGGATCCTTCATCCTCTTCAATGAACATGGATCTAACCTCCTACACGAACAGGCTTACAAACGCAATGCGTTCAGTTAAACCTGCTTCCACTCGACCACAATCAACCGATGTTTTCTTTCAACCTGACTTACGATATAGTACACACGTTTTCATTCGTCGAGGCTCGCATCGACGATCATTCTAATCAGCATACGATGGACCTTTCAAAGTGCTTCAACGTGAATCTAAGTACTATATAGTCGATAAGAACGGAACAAACGATAGCATCAGCATCGATCGCTTAAAAGCAGCGTATTTAGAAGGAAATCCTATTCACGTCGATTTCCCTTCGGTACAATCGCACAACACGACTCCTACACTCATGACTCCTCAACCGATAACCAACACACGCGATGATACCCCGAATGTATCTGAAAATAAACTTGAAACGACGCGTTCTGGAAGAAGAGTAAGATTTTCAGAACATTTAAACGACTATTGCACGTAAGGCACTACTCGACGTTTTATATTATCTCGATCTTTCTTTTTACGATATATAATATTCAAAAAAACAATCTTAATATGCTTAAATATTTATATTTTTATTTTAAAAAACATAAATTTTCTAACGCAATTACGTGTGCATGAGTTTATTTTCCTTTTTTTGCAGACATTGTGTTTTTACGCACAAACGAGTGTATTTCGACATGCACTTACATTTTCTTTTTTCTTTTCCAGGACGGCTGGAGAAGAACGATGAAGTTTACGAGGAGCCAAAATGTTTATTGTACTTCTTCTTACTATATTGTACATCATGGCCCCCTATAGTAAGGAAAGACGACCAGACGCTGCTAAACCTACCAAGCTATCAGAAGAGTGTTTACCAACGACAAAACGCGTTGGGCTTAAACTTCTGGCTGGCCAAGTCTTAGGGTCATCACTACAACACTAGGGGGAGAGTGATCTGTAGCGGTAAATAATTCCCCAGAATAAATAGCTCTGTAATTTTTCGACATTGGATGCTGACCATATGTTTTAATGGACTCACCCAGCTGAAGGCGCTCGGTCATGCATCCACACCAGATCACGTGTGGGAACGCCATGCTCAACTGCTACTGCAATCGCTAGCCAGATTAGATCAGATAGTTCCGATACATTGGCAAT